GGTAACACCCTTTTCACCCCGGTTACACTTTTCATTTGCCCTGTACGATGGGCGCTGTAAGTGATGAAAGTGGGGGGTGTTTATGGAGCTAATTTCCTGCCATAACTCCACAAACAAACTAAACAGGTTTTACAAATGCTTTATGATTCACTAACAAACACAATGTGGTTTGCAAATACAAAACACCATCTACAAACTAATGAATTTAGTTTTGCAAAGAAAAAACGTATCTATCAAACAAACACATAACATTTCAGCTTAGGTTTTACAAGTACACAACTTTTTTTTACAAGTGCACAAATTTGTTTTACAACTACAACACTTTGTTTTACAACTACAAAACTTTTTTTTACAAGTACAAAACTTTTTCTTCTCACGGCGGAATATTACTGCCAAAAGTCACGTGAGTGAGTCACGTGACTTTTGGCAGTAATATTCCGCCGTGGCTGGCTCATACACAGTCACACATGCTCACTCACACATGCTACACGGCAGCAGGGGGCGCTACTGAGTCCATTGGGAAGACGGGAGGTTGAGCAGAGCATGGAACAGCCCTTGCCAGTCTGATGACAGGTGTTATAGTGATAATATTATAAACAAGGTGAATTTAGCGATCACAACGAAAACAGCCAAGACACATATTGAGCCCAGAAAATAAATGTTATTAGGGGCTGTAAATATAATAAGCCTTTGTCTAAAATGGACAACATTGTAACTAAGGAGATTTAAACTATATATACAGCCAGGGGACGTTCGGGACGAATCCCGATGGGCCGGTACTGAAGTGGGCCGGTCGGATAAGTCACTGCTCACCCCCCCTTCCCCCCCGTCAACAATTTCCTCGCGGTATTTACTTGCGGCACCACCGAGGTGGGCCGCTTACTTGCGGTACCGAGTTGGGCCGGCGGTACCGAAGTGGGCCGGTCGAGAGTCCCGGGCTGATTTGTAGTCCCAGTCCACCCCTGTATACAGCGATTCTGCACTCGGTCAATCAGCTGTTTTCATTTTTATTCCTGCTATATTCAATGAGTGATACAAATATTTTTTACCACAAGTTCTTAATAAAACTGACACTGTTGGACTTGGTACTAGTTGACTGCTACCAGAAATAAAATGAAGTACTTTACTGTGTACTTTGTGAGTAATCCTCTGTCAGAGTCCCCTCCATAGTACATAATGCATGTTTTCTGCTATCTTTGATGAATGATAAAAATAAAATGTTACCATTAGTTCTTAATGAAATTGATACGGTTTGACTTTGTATTAGTAAGCCTACTACTAACAATACATTGAAGTACTTTTACTGTGTATTTTTTGAGAAATACTCTGTCAAAGTCCCCTCCTGTGAACAAAATCAAGCCACTTCTGCTAAGTTTGATGAGGGAATTCTTTTTTGTTGCCATTAGTTCTTCGTGAGATTGATCCTGTTGGACTCAGTACTACTGAAACTACCCCCACAAGTACTATGAAGTACTTATTGTGTACTTTTCCAGTAATCCTCTGTCAATGTCCCCTCCTGAGTACAAGAATGCATGTTTTTCTTTTAATAAGCGTTAAAAACATTTCTTCCTGAGACTGATATTGTTGGACAGAGTATTTTAAGAGGATGGTAGACATGATATCAGCAATACTTCCAGTCAGTACTCCGGCAGCAGCATTTTCACACCTTGGAAAGTCTTTAGAGTCTGGCCTGGAATGGATAGCTGGTCACAAATATCCTTCAGCAAAGTAACACACTCTGTCACATGGTTGCCCTCTTATGATGCTGCTGTCTTTTAATATATAATTATTCCTCTGCCGCTAGTTCGTTCCTCGCAGATTCTCAGTCTCATCAGCCTCATCCTTCCATCAGTCCCAGTTAACGCCTCCAGCCCACTTCCAGTATCTGACTCCATATGATATTGTCCTGATGCTGTAAGGGTGATGCCCCATGATCACAAAATGACCCCTCTAGAGTGCCAAGGACCTCATATTATGTCTGTCATTAATGTTACATCACCCATTAAATCGCCCAAAAAATATTTTTTTCCCTCATCAAACTTAGAAGTGGCTTGATTTTGTTCTCAGGAGGGGACTTTGACAGAGTATTTCTCAAAAAATACACAGTAAAAGTACTTCAATGTATTGTTAGTAGTAGGCTTACTAATACAAAGTCAAACCGTATCAATTTCATTAAGAACTAATGGTAACATTTTATTTTTGGGTCATTCCAGAATTGGAGGACATTTCATGTCCCCCATATAAAAAAATCTAATAATCCATGCCCAAAAAGCTAAGACATGCACTTGTGTTAAATATACTTGTCTTGAGACAAGATGCATATAAAGTTGTAGAAAAAGTGGTTTCAAAATATTATTTAAAATATCAAATAGCTCTCGAACACCCCCTAAAATTGCCCTTTTCTCTTGTCCCAGCTTCTTGGTGACCAACTTGCATGTCAACTATAACATTTAAAATAGGGTTTTTATTTACTTTTTTGGTATTATTCTATTGATATATGTGTCTTGTAATGGTAAAATCAATTTGTTAAATCATAAACACATTTTAAATAACAGTAATTTTGCACAGAAGGTGTGTCCCTCAACATGCGCGCAACCCTGTTACCGAAACCTTTTTAGCTTGGCAGAGGAAGTGAAAAAACTGTTTGTCGCATGACACAGTGGAAAGGACATCAGCAAGCCATGTGCTACTACCATGGGTAGACCAAAACTAAGTCCTCTCTTTTATTTGTAATATATTTCCAATCTTGTCACTCTTGAAGGAGTGTGGCACTCATAAACGCAACCCTGTTACTCAAATTATGAGACATAAAAATTAATTTCAAATGTATCTTTCTTTTGTTAAATATATATATAAATATGAATATAATTGTAACAGGACAGGGCAGATAAAGAGAAAAGTGGTAGTGCAGCAATCACGACAGAGGCAGTGTTCAAATCCAAAAAGAGGCTTTATTGCTAACAAACTCAAAAATACCTTTAACTAAACAAAGGCTAACGTAGCCGGGCCGCTAACCGACTTACCAGCTTACAAAAATGTTTCCTCACGCTGGGAGCCTCCTGCTCCCTCCATGTGCCACACACAACTGAGCAACTCTGTGTGCTTTGTCTCCCTTGAGGGAGTGATTAGCACCAGGTGTGAGGTCTCCACACCTGGTCCCAATACTGCTAATTGGCAGCGGGTGGAGCCACCTATTGGGAATGTAGGTGCCTCCCCCTTCAGTTCTGGCCTAGGAGAGGTGACCATGGTCCACAGGGCATCTCTACGGGACAGGGCATCTGCATTCCCATGCTTGGCTCCGGCTCTGTGGATGATAGAGAAGTTAAACTCCTGTAGTGAGACAAACCACCTTCCTACTTTAGCGTTTGTGTCTTTTTTATTTGCCATCCAGATCAGTGGGGCATGATCAGTTACCAGAGTGAAGTGACGTCCCAAGAGGTAATACCGGAGGCGCTCAAGCGCCCATTTTATTGCTAGGCCTTCTTTCTCCACAGTAGCATACACTTGTTCCCTTGTGTTCAGCTTCCGGCTGATGTACATGACGGGGTGTTCCTCACCGTGAACCTCCTGGGATAGTACTGCTCCTATGCCCACCTCTGACGCATCCGTCTGCACAATCATCCCCCGGCTGAAGTCTGGGGTCACCAACACCGGCCGTGCGCAGAGAGCCCTCTTAAGTTCCTCAAAGGCGTGTTCAGCCTCTCCTGTCCACTTGACCATTAGCGGCTGTGAGTCTCTGGTCAGGTCTGTAAGGGGAGAGGCTACTGTGGAGAAGTTTGGGATGAAACGGCAATAATAGGACGTCAGACCCAAGAATGTTTTCACCTGTTTCTTTGTTGACGGCCGTGGCCAGTCCTGGATCGCCTGAACCTTCCTTTCTTGTGGTCTAACGTTGCCCCGCCCAATGGTGAAGCCCAGGTATTCGGCTTCCTCTAGTCCAAGCTTGCATTTTCTTGGATTAGCTGTCAAGCCCGCCCTGCGGAGAGATTCCAGCACTGCTGCAAGCCTTATGAGATGGCTATCCCATGAGTCACTGTGGATAACAACGTCATCCAAATAGGCAGCTGCATACTCACGATGTGGCCTCAGAACCTTGTCCATCAGTCTCTGGAACGTGGCTGGTGCTCCATGAAGCCCGAAGGGAAGCACAGTGTACTGGTACAGCCCTGTGGGGGTGGCGAAGGCCGTCTTCTCTCTTGAGGCAGCTTCAAGTGGGACCTGCCAATACCCTTTCGTCAAGTCCAGAGTGCTGATATACCTGGCTTCCCCAAGCCGATCAATTAGCTCATCTATCCTGGGCATAGGATACGCATCAAACTTGGAGATTTCATTCAATTTTCTGAAATCATTACAAAACCTGTTGGTTTTGTCTGGCTTAGGAACCAGAACGACAGGGCTGGTCCACTCACTGTGAGATTCTTCAATCACCCCCATAGCCAGCATTTTCTGCACTTCTTGCTCAATGGCCGCCCGTCTTGCCTCCGGCACCCGGTAGGGTCGCATCTTTACCTTTTGGCCAGGCTCTGTGTGGATTTGATGTTCCACCATCGTTGTGCGTCCAGGTCGTAGTGAGAACACATCCAAACTCTGCTGAACCAGTTCCTTGGTTTGCTGTAACTGAGCTTTGGATAGCCCTGGACCGTATTCAACTTCGGCCACCTCATGGTCTGGAGAAGGGGATACAAACAGGGAACAAGAACACAGCAGTGCCTCTCGGGCATACCATTTCTTTAACAGGTTAACATGGTATATTTGGGATGGTTTGCGACGGCCAGGTTGGCGTACCTTGTAGTTGACTGGTCCCACCTTCTCTGTCACTTCATAGGGACCTTGCCACGATGCCAGGAATCTGTGTTCTGTGGTGGGGACCAGGAGAAGCACTTTATCCCCGGGCAGGAACTCACGTGGTTGGGCACCTCTGTTATACACTTTCCTCTGGGCTTCTTGGGCTTGAGCCATGTGCTCTCTGACCATGGGCCAAACATCTTTCATATGCGTCTGCATCGTCTCTACATGCTCAATCAGGCTCCGATGGGGGCTTGGTTGCTCCTCCCAGGCTTCCTTCGCGATGTCGAGAAGTCCTCTGGGCTGTCGGCCATACAGCAGCTCGAAGGGGGAGAAACCGGTTGAAGCCTGTGGAACTTCCCTGATTGAAAACAGGACATAGGGCAGAAGCTGGTCCCAGTTACGACCATCCTTGTCAACAACCTTCTTTAACATGGATTTCAACATCTTGTTAAAGCGTTCTACCAATCCGTCTGTCTGCGGATGGTAGACAGATGTACGAAGCTGCTTTACCTTGAAGAGCCTGCAGAGATCCTTCATTATCTTGGACATGAAGGGAGTGCCTTGGTCTGTTAGCATCTCTTTAGGAATCCCAACTCGACTGAACAGGTGAAGCAGCTCCCGTGCAATCACTCTCGTTGTCATGTTCCTCAAGGGAATGGCCTCCGGGTACCTGGTTGCATAGTCAAGGATCACAAGAATATACTGATGTCCCCTGGCAGACTTCACCAGCGGCCCCACTAAGTCCATGGCAATGCGAGAAAACGGTACATCGATTATCGGTAGAGGTATTAGGGGACTTTTAAAGTGTGGCTTGGGACTCATCTTTTGACATTCAACACAGGTGCGACAATAATCCTCTATAGCCCTTACCACCCCTGGCCAGTGGAACCGGCTCCCAATCCGCTGCCTTGTCTTCTCAACCCCTAGGTGGGCCCCTAGGACATGGCTGTGAGCCAGATGCAACACTGTGGACACATATTGTTTTGGGACAACCAACAAGTCTCTTCGCTGACCTTCAACCTCTTTGGCATAGTATAACAGATTATTTTTTATTAGGAAATGAGGACATGTAAGCTCACCCACTCCTGGAACTGGTTTTCCCTCTATTTCCGTAACATTGCTGCGTGCATGCAACAGATTGGGGTCTTCCATCTGGGCGGTCCCGAACTGGCCCTTCAAACTTGGAAGCAATGAGACTTCCCCCTCCTCATGACCTGTGCTTAGGTCTCCAGGGAAAGCAACAAAAGGGTTATCATTTGCCTCGTCTGCACTGGAAGATTGGTTGCCTCTCTGCTCCTCTGGCACAGCACACACAACGTTGGGGAACTGCTGAGGAGAAGTACCCTGGGTGGCAGTTTGTCCTCTCTCTCGTTTTCCTTTGGCACGCTTGTGCTTTTTGGGACTCACCTCCTTCTGGTGCCGCAGGCGCTTGTATAGTGGGCAGTCTCGCCCCACCAAGACTGGGACTGGTAGGGAAGGAACCACCCCCACTTTCATCTCACAGCTGCCTTTAACTGTGGTAAGGTGGATGAGGCAAGTGGGGTATAATTTAGTGTCCCCATGGACACAGGAGACGGGCACAGTCTCTTCAGATGGCAAATGGTCGAGGAGGTGGGGTTGAATGAGGGTTACCACACTTCCTGAGTCCACTAGCGCCTCTGCATCTTTTCCATTTACTTTGACTGGTATCATTTGAGCCAGGGAGCTTTCCTGTACCCAGCAAGAGTCAAGAAGGTGGCAGGGCCTTGCACCAGAGGAGTTGGCGGTCGGCATTAGCTCATCCTTCCCTGGGCAGTCCCGGGCAATATGGCCTGTCTCCCCACACTGGTAGCAACGCGGTTGGCCCTCTGGCAGGTAGGACTGTCGTCGCCTTACCTCTTCTGGTTCCCATCGCGGTTCTCGTGCCCGTCTAGTCCGTGATGCTTCCCCACTGACTTTCCGGCCCCACTCGGTGTCTGGTCGTGTGGACTTAAGCAGGTCCGCTGTGACCACGTGGCTCTCCACTACGTTAACCAACTCATCCAGACCGGCTGGATTCTGCTGGCTTGTCATTTTCTTGATCTCATAGGGCAGAGACCGAATATATTTGTCCATCATTATCCTCTCTAAAACACTTAACTTTTCGGGGTTGCATGTCAGCCAGGCTCTGGTTACCCGGCCTAGGTCATACATCTGGGCCCTGGCTGACAACTCTGGCTTGTATTTCCATTCATGGAACCGCTGGGCTCTTGCTGCTAAGCTGTAGCCATACCTCGCCAGGATTTCCTTCTTCAAGACGACGTAATCCTTTGCTTGGTCCGGAGGGAGGTCGAAGTAAGCTTGCTGTGCCGGGCCCAGGAGGAACGGTCCAACCAGATCAGCCCAGGAGTCCCTTGGCCAGCCCTCTCTTTCAGCTGTGCGCTCAAAGGCCGTTAAGTAGGCCTCTATCTCATCACTCTCTGTCATTTTGGGGATGAATCGACCTGGGTTAGGCTGCATGGTTGCTTCCCTCTGGACAGGAGAGGCTGCTGTAAGGCATTTTTGGACCTCCATGTGGAGAAGTGCATTCTGTTTCTGCTGTTCCTGTATCATCTGCCGTTGCAGAGTCTGCTGCTCAGTAGAAATACGCACCAACTCCTTTAGTACATCCTCCATCTTGAAAACGTAAAAAAAAAATTGTTCTGACTGCAACACCACCAATAGAGTCTTTATGCCCGCATTCTCCACCAGTGTAACAGGACAGGGCAGATAAAGAGAAAAGTGGTAGTGCAGCAATCACGACAGAGGCAGTGTTCAAATCCAAAAAGAGGCTTTATTGCTAACAAACTCAAAAATACCTTTAACTAAACAAAGGCTAACGTAGCCGGGCCGCTAACCGACTTACCAGCTTACAAAAATGTTTCCTCACGCTGGGAGCCTCCTGCTCCCTCCATGTGCCACACACAACTGAGCAACTCTGTGTGCTTTGTCTCCCTTGAGGGAGTGATTAGCACCAGGTGTGAGGTCTCCACACCTGGTCCCAATACTGCTAATTGGCAGCGGGTGGAGCCACCTATTGGGAATGTAGGTGCCTCCCACTACTCTGCCTCTCAGTCCCTTACATAATATAAAGTGTGTCCATTCCTTGACAATAGCATTACATTGTGCAGCTAGAATTAATTCCTGAGGTAAAAGCTAAAATTAGCATTTATTTTCAACCCTGTTACTTGCAACCCTGTTACTATAATTAGAGTAACAGGGTTAATTCTTCATTGGAAAATATACATTTGATGCCTTAGCTGGGCAAATCACTTTTTTTTATGGTTTATTATCTGTTTTTCCTAAATACATAACAAAAAATAATAAAATGAAAGGTTCATTTTTCAAAAATGTTGGTGTCTAAATTGTCCTCCAATTCTGGAATGACCCTTTTATCATTCATCAAAGATAGCAAAAAACATGCATTATGTACTCTGGAGGGGACTCTGACAGAGGATTACTCACAAAGTACACAGTAAAGTACTTCCTTTTATTTCTGGTAGCAGTCAACTAGTACCGAGTCCAACAGTATCAGTTTTATTCAGACCGTATGGTAAAAAATATTTGTATCACTCATTGAATATAGCAGGAAAGAAAATGAAGAGCAGCTGATTGACCGAGTGCAGAATCGCTGTATAGTTTAAATCTCCTTAGTTACAATGTTGTCTATTTTAGACAAAGGCTTATATTGAAGTATTCGATGTTCTCGCGCCCAGGAGAGGAGTTTAAAATAACGAGACTAATGGAGTCTCTGAAAAGGTTCAAATGGGTAGTTTAATTAAGTAACGTGGTTAAAGAACAAGCATGGGTAATGGAGAGACAAAGCCGGTGTTGTCTTGAGGGTGGCTGCAGCGAAGGGAAGAGAGCGGTTGGTCGTATCTCATCTGTTTTTATCCTCCTCTCGTTGTCCCCCGCTGTGCAAATAGTGGGTCCTCCCTACTCATTTGTCGGTTCAATATCGCGAGAGCACAGATAATTTCAACATTTTGTATTCCCTGCCTACTTCCTTAAGCCTTTTCTCCTCCTTATCTCTGTGATGACTTTCTATTTAATACCTTATAAACAGCTGTAATACTTAGTTTAGAAGTCCTAGTGGTTCCGCTCCGGCACAGTTCTTATTTTACGGAAATTCCCTCTGACGTCATAGCTTCTCACGTATCTGTAAACACTACGATCAACTAGACCTTCATTTAATATTCAGCAGTAATAATATCTTAACGTCTATCGATGTAGTGTTAAAGTCCGTACGTTTGTGTGTAACACTCCAAGTCATTTTCACTTTACATTCAGAAAACGCAACATTAGTCACAAGCTAACCGGATAAAGGATTTTCAGAATAAAAGCTTGGCATTGATTTCCTGAGAACTTCCGGGCTTTTCCACAATAAAACAGCTTTAAACTGACGATATGTTTTAGACTGAATTATGCTGTTTAACATTGATTTTAATTTCTAACACTTATTATATTTACAGCCCTAAGAACATTCATTTTCTGGGCTCAATATGTGTCTTGGCTGTTTTCGTTGTGATCGCTAAATTCAGATCGCTGGATCGCTAGAAACACTGCTGTCATCAGGCTGGCAAGGGCTGTTCCATGCTCTGCTCAACCTCCCGCCTTCCCAATGGACTCAGTAGTGCCCCCTGCTGCCGTGGAGCATGTGTGAGTGAGCATGTGTGAGTGTGTATGAGCACAACCACGGCGGAATATTACTGCCAAAAGTCACGTGAGTGAGTCACGTGACTTTTGGCAGTAATATTCCGCCATGAGAAGAAAAAGTTTTGTAGTTGTAAAAACAAGTTTTGTACTTGTAAAAAAAAGTGTTGTAGTTGTAAAAACAAGTTTTGTACTTGTAAAAATAAGTGTTGTAGTTGTAAAAAAAATGTGTGTACTTGTAAAACCTATGCTGAATTTGTCTATGAAACATGATTTATTAGAATAATGGTATGTGTTTATTTGATAGATACGTTTTTTCTTTGCAAAACTAAATGCATTAGTTTGTAGATGGTGTTTTGTATTTGCAAACCACATTGTGTTTGTTAGTGAATCATGAGGCATTTGTAAAACCTGTTTAGTTTGTTTGTGGAGTTATGGCAGGAAATTAGCTCCATAGGTGTTGGCTTATCAGGCGTCCGCAGCTCACAGCCAAAGTGGGCGTGGGAGCGAGCAAGAGAGATAAATGCAATTTATGTAAACAAATATTTCCAAGGCACTCCTTTATAATTATTTGGATAAACAGGTTTGAAATCATTTCAATGTATACTATTGGACAGTAAACCAAAAATATCGTTTACAACTTGAGAGATATAAAAATATGCATAAATAAATGTTAACTAGGTAAAATAAGATATGAATGAACAACAAAAATAAAATAAGTTATATTTATTTGTTATTGGCTGTGGTATGTTATTGGTTTTGTTCACATATTTGGTTATTAAAATGTAAACCGATCTTTTTCATATGGGTGTTTAGAGTTGTACCCCCTAGATCTAGTCTCTATAATGTGTGCTTAAAGTGCACCAGATTGAAGCATTTTACTTTACATTTTCAAACATTTCTTCCCGGGGGGGGCATACCCCCACACCCCCCTAGAGGATGTGACGTCCACACCCCAATTAAAACATGTTCATACAATACTGAATACATTTGAAGCCTTTTTGATGTATATTACCTATGTCAATAAGTTTCTGTTTTTGTAGTGTATTGGTCTTTTGTAGAGATTTTTAATTTATTCTTTATATATTCTATTGTGTATTCCTTGGATACTTTTATATTTTCTACTGTACGATTGAAGTAAATGTGGGAAGCGTTTAACAACAGCCATTTACTTCAAAGATATTTCTCAATGTTATTCTTATTTTTGTTAATCCTGGAAGAATGCCAGAAAAAGACATTCTCTTCAACAATAAAAAAAAACATGACATTAGTAATTGTGATAACAAATTAAATAAGTTGTTAGGTTAAGTCAGGGCCGGTTTTTGGCATAGGTGACATAGGCGGTCGCCTAGGGCGCCAGATCTGGGGGGGGGGCGCTGCGCTGGCAGCTCTGGGAGGGAAAAAAACATTTTTTACTGTTTGCGCTCATCCTAATTTTCGGCCTTGATGTAACAATATTCATAATTAAGTAAAGGTAACACCCTTTTCACCCCGGTTACACTTTTCATTTGCTCTGTACGATGGGCGCTGTAAGTGATGAAAGTGGGGGGTGTTGGCTTATCAGGCGTCCGCAGCTCACAGCCAAAGTGGGCGTGGGATCGAGCAAGAGAGATAAATGCAATTTATGTAAACAAATATTTAAAATCTCGCCTAGGGCATGCAAATTGGTCACTGCCAGTGACCAATCGGATGGGTGTGGTAGAGACATAAAAGCCAGGTACTTCTCAAAGCCTGAGTATATTTGTGCAGACGTTTCATGATCAGCTGTTTTAGGGAGCGACATCATTTGTGTCTTCTATCGTTAGTTAGACACAGAAAACATTGTCAATGGCGTCAGAAGACTATGGGGAAATGAGCGGGGAGGATATGTGTGAGTACCTGAAAGAAAAAGGACTTGGAAAGTGGGCAGATAAATTTAAAGGTAAGTTTCTGGTTTGGTCATTTAAATTGATGGTTAGGTTTTATATCATCGTTGGCCTAATTGAATAAGCTGATGAAAAAAAATGCTTTTGTTTTTTTAAATTCAACTTAGCTTATAAACTTGTCATAAAAAACTAAAATGTGATACAGGACTGTAATTCACTGCATCTTCTTTTACCCAGAAAAGTCTGTCATCAAGCTGTGGGAGCTCAATGATGATGATTTTATGTCTGAGATGGGCATATAGTGAGTATCATCCCTTGTCAAACCAGGTTGCAATTAAAAAATAATATATAACATCATGAAAAGAAGGAAGTGTGTTGCAAATGTTCTTGAAGCAGTGGCCCTAATTTGGTGCAACAACTTCCCCCTGGCTTGACTTTTAATTTATAATCTACTATGATTTTTTTTCACGATTTCTTTAGTAAAGTTGAGGATCGTCAGAAAATCTTGGACAGTATCTTGAAGATCTGGCCAGCAGCTCCCAAGGTGATATAATATTTTGTTTTATTTATTGCTTCACACTACATGTTCAGGGCCTTCAGAAGAAATGGAGCTTGTTTTAGTTGTACTCTTTAGGGTCATCATTTGACAGGTTTTTTGTTGTACGTATTCTGTTAGGTGTTTAATGATCCAATCCACGGAAGTATGGAGTTGCACCCTCTTCTTGTCAAAATCATCGACACGCCTCAGTTCCAGAGATTAAGATACATCAAGCAGCTGGGAGCGGGCTATTTGGTTTATCCTGGAGCCTCCCACAACCGCTTTGAACACTCAATTGGGTATGTCCAATGTGTGTTAATGTTATCCAAAATCAATATTAAGTGAAGACTAGTTTGCTGTAAATGGACTGTATTTACATATGGCAGCAATAAACTGTTTAAAACAAATTGCATATCCTGTTCTGCAGCAGGACACTCAAGTGGTAATTGTGTGATGACTTTTTATTGTTGTGTGCTGTATGCTTTGGTGAAGGGTGGGGTACTTAGCAGGAGAGCTTGTGAAAGCTCTGAAGGAAAAGCAGCCAGAACTCAACATCAATAAGAGAGACATCCTTTGTGTTCAGATCGCTGGGCTATGCCATGACCTGGGTGAGTGATACACACCTTTCACTTTAATATGTGATAGGGTTTAAAAGAATAATTCATCAACAAAATGACGATTTGTATACAACAATTTCTTACCCTGTATTACCTGTTTAGTTATTTAAGTTTTTTTCACATACACTTTGAACAGAGAACAAGAAAAAAAAATGCAAAATATATACAAAATGTTAAAATGTCTCACTTCAGTTTGTTTTATAGTCAATCACCATTTGCTTAAAATATTTATTTTTCTCCGTATATAGGACATGGACCCTTTTCCCATCTGTTTGATAAAATGTTCATCCCCAAAGCAACACCCCCATCTGGTCCACGACGTGAACAAATGAAAACCTGGAAGGTGAGCAATTATTATTCCTATTGTCTGTAATGTGTGACATTATACCCAACAACAGAAATAAAACACATTTATAAAACCCAGCCAGCAGCTGCATGTCATGATCTGATCATGTTTTTTCGATCTGTGATTTTGGCTGTTCTACCGTATTGCAATACTACACGGTACAAGTGTTTGTCTTCCGCCTTAAAGTCAAAACTGCTCCACCAGTTGAAAATCTTCTCAAAGATTGTAGGTCACCCCTGTGAGAAATTCTATGAATCAACCATAATACCGTAGTGAGGCTGGCCATCAACATCTCTGATCCCCAACATGTTCTGAACAGTGAATATGAATTGTTACCATCAAGTCGGAGGTACAGGGTCCCACGTTTTAATGAAGTTAGACTGAAGCACTCCTTTGTGCACCAGTCCATCCTCAAATTAAATACAGAGCTCAATCTCAGGTCAAATGTGTGCTTGAGGGTCTTAAGCATGTTTTCTCTTCAGTGATTGTTATGTTAAATGTTTGTTTCCTTGTATCGTGTCTTAATATTTGTCCCTGTTTGATGTTGCAAATGGAGCTGCTATGATGCAGGAAAAATGTCAGATTTGATCTGACAATAAATAATTATCGTATCTTATTACACATGCAATATTTTACATTCAGTGGAGCATTGCCTTTAATTAATTAGTTGTATTTTGTTGCTTTTTTCAGTCAAAAGCAATAAAGCATAATCCTTTCCAAAATGATGCACTATTCCTTTAAGCACAATTAGTTGTGGCATTCATGGTATTATGAGACACATGCAGGGTACTCTCTCAAAGGATATTATAACTACCTTTGTCTGCTTTCTTCCAAGAACTTCTTGAAAGGTTTTCATATATATATATATATATATATATGTACTCTTAATTCAGGTGTTTCAGTTTAATAAAAGTGAAAATAGAAAACATTATCAATTTAACTTATCAACATGAAATATACATTCTTATTGATTGCACAATGTATTGGCTTAAGAATAATGACACGCCTCACATTTATTGGATATTAATTGATGTTATTCTGAGTTATTCAGTTTACAGTTACAGCAATAACTTAAACATGTATGAGAAGAGTGGGAGTGGTGAAATATCTGGTATAGGGGGAGCGGTGCAAACAGGCTGTTGCTTTACAGAGCTCCCTGTCGTTATGTAAGTTTTGGCAACAGACCTGTCATCTGGTAAACATATACTGTCATGTTTTCAGCAAAGCCAGGCCCTTTCTATTCAAACAGTGAGTCATTGTTCATTTTTATCACTTTGAATTATCATACTAATATATCAATGAATTTGTGTACCTTGCAGCATGAGGACGCCTCTGTAGAAATGTTCGACCACATGGTGGAATCCAATGTGGATCTGCAGTGGATGATGAAGGCATGTGGCATGCTGCCCAATGATGAGGTCTTCATCAAAGATATGATTCAACCAAAAAAGAAAGTGAGTCATGCAATTTGAATTTAATGATATCAGTTTTATCATCGTAATTGCTACAATAGCCAATGCCTAATGCCAGCCACTCTGTGCTGTCATCTCCACAGTGGCCATATAAAGGCCGTCCAGAGGAGAAGTCCTTCCTCTATGAGATTGTAAACAACAAAAGAAACGGCATTGATGTGGACAAGTTTGACTACTTTGCCAGGTGGGGCTTGGTTCAACAGCTAGAGCAGTTCACTTTTTAATGCAATAAAACAAATGTGTATTATACAAAGAAATAATTCACATTAAGAACATAGTCCTGGTTATTTAAAGAACATGTAGCATTCTCCTGGTGTCTTAGATGAGTTTTGTTAATAAGCACGTTTTCTTTACTTGTCTTGCCTTTGTCTCATCAGGGACAGCTACCACCTGGGCATCAAGAACAACTTTGACCATGGCCGCTTCATAAAGTTTGCCAGGGTGTGTGACGTGGACGACCAGAAGGGGGCCGAGCAGAAGGGGGACGGGCAGAAGGTGGACGCGCAGGAGGTGGACGGGCTGGAGGTGGACGAGCAGAAGGGGGACGAGCAGAAGGTGGACGGGCAGAAGGTGGTCAGGCAGAAGCACATCTGCACTAGAGACAAGGTGCTGACTTTGTTACATCTGCTTTTTGATCAGCTTTTATAACAGCAATCAATGTAAATGATTAGTGGTAACGTTTGGATAATTCTGTTAACAGGAGGTGAACAACCTCTATGACTTGTTCTACACGAGGTACTCTCTCCACAGAAGAGCCTACCAGCACAACGTGGTTAAGATCATAGAGTATATGTGAGTATCTTCCCTTCTCACGTTGGTACTCTGATTTTAATAATTGAATTTGCTTCATAATCAAATATTTTGTATGGTATGCATAAAGTGATAAAATATTTCTTTCATCCAGGATCACAGAGGCCTTTCTATTGGCAGACGAGCACATCCAGATTGAAGGCTCAGGAGGGGATATGTTCACCCTCTCCACAGCAATAACTGACATGGAGGCCTACACCAAGCTGACAGGTCAGCAGAAACCACTTTGTGCTGTGAGCTTGTGTTTTAACATTAAAGCAAAGCATTATTCATAATCCAACACTTCTTTGGGGGGGAAACTTACTATTTAAAACACTTCTGCATAATCAGTTGCACTGGGGAACTACCAGTGCTACTCTTCGAGTACTGTTTATGCAGAAATGATCATTTTGGTGCTGGGTATTCCTTTCATCTTGTTAGTATATTTAACAACACAACAAAATAAACTCACCAGTGTGTTTAGTACTTACTGTCACTGGGGTAACGAGTTTGGCCAGGGCATGCCACAAGGACATGCTAATGACAACAGGCACATTAGAGCAGATAGGGTTAACTCACCATTTAATCCTTTCCTTCACCTTTACACTTATGTTTTTGGTTTTGTAAAGGTTAAATAAAGACACAACCATTGGCAATTTAGATTCAAAGTAATGCTCTTCAGCTCACGGAGAAACAAAAACTTGCCGTTCTGGTTACAGATGATATTAACAGACAATTTGGTTTAGCAAATGCAATTTGGTGAAATTTGGTCATGGAGTGTTTTTCATAATTTTAACAACAAATTAAAGTAGAACAAATGTTATCACAAAGGTATACTGCTTAGATGTTGTGAGTTATGCTTCTCAGTTTACAGTGTCAGTGACTTCGTTTTTACCTTCTTTCTTCTAACCTGCTCTTCTGTCCCGTTTGTCCTTTAGATTGTGTATTTGACCAAATACTCAACTCCACAGGCACAGAGGATAATCTCATAAAGGCAAGGGAGATTCTAACAAACATCGGCGATCGTAAACACTACAGGTGTCTGGGTGGAATCAAGCCTAAAATCCAACCCAAGGTGTGCAGTAATGTATTTTGTTCCTGTATTACATCACATATTTGTAATCATTTATCTCCAGGGATCGCACAGCAGGAAAAAAGATGAGTAATCTGTTCATCAAAAGAGATTAAGGCAGGAGGGGGCAAAAGCGTAAATTTAATTTTTTTTAAATAACAGTTATTTTCTTAATGTATTTTAAACATTAAACTCAGGAAAGCTTGATTCATTTCTGTTTCATGACACATCTCTCATTACATCCTATCTCAGTTTGAGCAGACACGCCTTCGGTTACCACAAATTATTTTACTTCAAATGTATGCATATTAACTTATTTAATTTCATGCAATTATCAGAAGTTCAGTAACGCTTTTTGCAGTGATTGAGAATTACACTCCATATTTTTGCCTTATTTGCAAAAGTTTAGCATTAGCAAAAGCGGTGCACTCCCCTTTGAATTTATCCATGATTATTCCAAAAGTAGCAAATATGCGCCTCAAAGCCAACATCTGGTGAGGTGTGAGTCAGGTGCCTGACTAATAATGATGTCAACAGTATGACATAATCAATGATAACATGATTAACCTATTATCATGTGGGGTGTGACAAAACATTCTTTAATACTGATTAAAAACAATCTCTGTTTGATATGACCTGCTAAACTGACATTTAAATGAGACATAACTTTAGGAGCAACATAAACTTTTAATAAACTGCAACCCAGACCGTTGCACTGTAAAGGGTTTGCATCAAGAATACATTATAATACAACTTTTGAAAAGGCCTGTTGTCGGGTGAGAGCAAATCTGTAGTTTGAGTTTGGACAGACAGCCGAAACCGAGAAACAAAGATGTTTGATTTTAATGTACCTGCTTAATTTGGACCTCCTCTTGCTGTGTGTTTTCATGATGGAAAGAACTGCAAATGTATTTCATCTCTCACTTCTCAACCTTTGTCCTTCCTACTTAAGGGGATACCTCAGTTGAAAAAGGACCTGTTTCCACAAGAGGGAGTTCAGGCTGACGGGCTGCCAAAGGAGGACTTTGTAGTTTTAGTGAGTTTTTTGTGTACTTACTTTTGCTTCGCTAATCTTAAAATGGTGTGTTTTTTAGATACTGCCATCTCCATTGATTTACTTTTGAATAAAGAACAGGCTTCTGTCTCAACCTTCTCTTCTAGCCTGTTACTATGGACTATGGGATGAAGAAAAAGGACCCCATCGATAGTATGGACTTCTACAGCAAGAAAACCCATACCCAAGCATTCAAAATCAAGAGAGAAGAGGTCAGAACAATGACGACAAAAATCTCAATCTTGATATTTTTTTGTGAGCTTTAGTGTATTTCTTTGTAGAGAAACCTCTGTTATGTAGTTTTTATTATATTTATGCTGCTATCATTCTTGTCAGGTGTCGAGGCTTCTCCCAGTGCACTTCTCTGAGACGCTCTTCAGGGTTTACAGCAGGAAGATTGATCCTGAAAGTCTGAGAGCTACCAGGGTGCGATTGGAAGAGTGGATCAGAGTGAGGAATCGACGGCATCCAGGTAATATTTATATCTAAGATATAACGGACTGCCTATAGCCGAGTAGTTAGTTGTCAAATAGAAGTCAAATGCCCTGAGCAGCAAATCTTAGTTTGTTTCCTAGTTGGCTGGGCCACTTGAGGTGTAAGAAAAACACTCTAGTTTGAAAGTCTGGAATAGGAGATGGCCCGCCTACTGCAAGTCATTCCCGTACTCTCTTTACAAACATATCTGTCTCCACTACAACTGTCAAATAAAGGCATATTGCACCACAATTTTTTTTAAACAAGGCAGGAGGTTTTATTAAATGGCAGTGATATTATATCATAGTAGTACAGGGTAAAATATGTACAGTATGAGTTTTAGTATATGGACATGAGCAGGTAAGGAGGAATAATTACTTTCGTTACATCTTGTCAGATCTCAAGGATACAATTGCAGTTTAATTGCACTTTGATCTTGCCTCTGGAGTTAAAACCATCTATGCCTGCTGCTTAATGATTATTTTAATCATTGATTAAGTAGCGATTACTTCCTCAATTAGTTTACTTTTATAATTTGGTCTGTACATGTAAGAAAATGGGGGAAATGCCTGTAATATGTAGTAAAGACAAAGGTTACGTCTTTAAGTAAAGTAAGAAGCTGGATCTATTTTTCTGTGGAGCTACTAATAATGTAGCTCCACTGTAGACTAGCACCATGCTTCAGTAAAGATAGTTGCAGCTCTGCTCTTGGTAATGCTGATACACTTTTCTTTCTTTATTTACATGCAGTGGAGAGCCACTGTCTCCTCACACAATTTGGATGAATCTGAAGTTTTGGAAAATGGAAGTTACACCTGAAAAAATAAAGAAAACACTTCCTGGCTCTCCTTGGTTCATACTGATTGAAGGTGATCGAGAAATTTGATCAAGTGAGTATGTGACTTAACGACTTAAAAGTGAATGAGGATGCATTATGCACAATTGGGCCATATATGCAGTTTTTAGAGCCCTGTTTAATATTATACACTAATCTAAGTGGAAATGTGATCATTTTAAATCAGCTTTAATTAAGAATCTTTGTTTAATACCATATTATGGCTATTTGAAATGTAATTTTAGGTGTGATTTAGGGATTTTAAATATTTAGTGGTGTTTGTTTAAGATATCCATCGTGTGAATTAATGTGGTAACCTGATTAGATATTAGATTGTTTTGGGTGTTTGTATTTGTTTTTAATCTATCAATATGAAATCAATATCATTACTATTACCATTATATATTACTATTCATACTGTAGTTATACAATGTAGCTTGCTTCATTCAATGTAACCATCTGTATGAATGTGGTTAACTTAGGGTATATTTCTGTTTATGGTCATGGTGTGAAAATGTTGTGATTTGTCATGTAATGGGACTTTTGAGGAAAACCTACAACAATATTTTCAACTTTGTTGCTGTTGAGATTGGGTTAATAAAAATGTGTTTCTTCTTAATTTGAAATCAATTAAATGTTGTGTTTATTGAGTGTCATTGTGCCATTTTACTCATCCAACATAATAATTCAGCAGAGATTTGAATTCAGTTAGATATAGAGTTGCTTATTCAATTCTTCAACAAGTATCACTAGGACAGATTCTTTTTTCTTTGCACAACCCTAAGGTAATTCATCTGAGGGAATATTTGAAGAAGCGTATCTCACACAGTCACACACTTCAATATCTATCTAATACCAAAAATCTACTGATACATAACTCACTCTATTAGAGCTGTAACTATTAACCAAAGTGTAGGTAGCATTTACAATTTCCCTGAAGCCCTTTTCATTTATTGCACTTATTCTGCTTCCTCATTTATTTCTAGGATGCTCATTGCAGGGTTGAGCTATATGACAATATATGTAACATTTAGCGTGAGACGATGTTAATCTTCCTGCCGTATTGTTTTATGATATTTCCCTTTATTATGACTGGCTTAATCAGACCATCATTCAGGGTGATAATCCTGGATTTAAACCTTACTGTGTTATTCATTTCACTGGATGTGTCAAAACAGATGATCCTAACTATTTTATCAATAAACAATTTATAGAATGTATATCATATATTATAAAAAATACAAACCAAAAGAATAGTGTCAATATTGCCTACCCATACTATTGTATTGCCTTACTTCTACTGTTTTGTTATTAGTTTGGAGTTTTCCCTTATACAAAATGAGGGCCTAGAGACGATAAGGGAGTATTATGCATGTTGTGATTTTTCTTCTACCTTCAAACCAGGTTGTACAGTATGAGCAGTGTATTTCAATGTCATGTTACTTTATACTTCACTACATTTAGAAATCAGCTTCAGTTGCTAGTAACTTTGGAGATTCAGAAAATTGAAACAAAATATATAAAAGAAACTAGTAAATGATGATGGATCACAGAGGGGACACATATTTATGTATAAAAGACCTCAAGAAGTGGATTTTTCCTAATAGGTGACATTTAACTTTGTGATTTACCACTGGGTCCCGTCGCGTGTCGATGCTCCTCGCTCCCTCAACACGTGGTTTCAATGATCCCTCCATTCATACTTTATCACAATAGATCTACACACAGGAATATCGTTTTTAAAAACGCCGGCACTGCATGTCCTCCATCGTTGTCACTGAACGTAATCCGGGGTTTTGGCGTCACTTCTCTGGCCTCATTCGCTGCACTATATTTGGCTCCACCTTCCACGTGCTACCCCATTGCGTCAAGTTCTCTACAAGCAGCGAACAAGTGACCGGAAGCGAAGTGTTGAAATAAAATCATAAAACAGATTGAGGTTTGCGTTTACTCAAGGTGATCAACAGCTTAGGTCAGCATTTATTTTGTTTGTTTGTTTTTTTTGACAGTCGTGAAGTAAAAAACTGTGATTTATTAATGTTCACAAATAGGCTTTAAATGATTGTGATAAGCAAGTATGTGTTACTGTTTTGTTTTACAGCAGCAGTCGGTCATGCTGGACCCAAACCAACACTTTTATATTAAAAGACTTATAAGCCGACCAAAGTTTTATTTCTTTTGAATTATACGATAATTGTTAAAATTACTATTAAAAATGTTTACTGGAAATCCAAAAAATGAAATAGGAACATTATTGTATTTAATACTTATATATGTTACCCATACATTTCAAGGTTTTTATTAGTCATACGTTCATAGCTAGAGTGTAGTTATGACGATGAAAATCTTAGGTCCCAGGCTCCACCAACAGTGCAACACAATAAAACAGGAAAACAGAAAGAATATAGTGCAAGTAAATACAAAAAGAAAAATAGTAAAATAGTGAAATAGTGCAATAAGAGTCTATATACAAGTGATTGGAATATGAAATAATAGATACATAATTTCTAAGTAGCAGCCAGATGAATGTTATGGATGTTGTTTCAAGTTCAGGTATTTAATAGTCTTATGGCCTGTGGGATGAAGCTGTCCCTGAATCTGGTGGTTTTAGTCCTGGTGCTGTGGTACCGCTTGCCAGACGGCAGCAGACAGAACAGTTTGTGGCTGGGGTAATTGGGGTCTTTTGTAATCCTGAGGGCTTTCTTCTTACTTGGGAGTAAAGATCCTCCATGAATGGCAGCTCCGTCCTGATGTTCTGTGCAGTTTTCACCACCCTCTGTAAACTCTTTCGATTGAGGGCGGTGCAGCTGCCGTACCAGGCCGTGATGCAGCCAGTCAGGATACTCTCTATGGTGCACCTGTAGAAGTTGCAGAGTATCCTGGAGTCCATGTTGAACCTCCTCAGCCTGCGGAGGAAGAAGAGCCGCTGTCGAGCTGTTTTGGTGATGGTGTTTGTGTGATGAGTCCAAGTCAGATCCTCACTGATTTGTTTGCACTTCGTTGTTTTGTCACCTATTTGCCTCACATGTCTTTAAAGGGGACATACCATGAGATCTTTTATACATAATAAGTGTTTTTAAAAGTGCCAACCAAGCCACAAATCATACAAACCAGAACATTGTAGTGGGCTGCCTTGGTCAGAAAACATGAGATTCAACAAGCCACTCAGATGTAGCCCCCCCTTCTGATGTCACATGCAAGCTCATTCAAATATACTTTTGAGAACTACCATTGCTATTTTTTCTGCAAGTCAATCAGAGCAAACTAGGCTTTTTTGGAAGGGGACGAGTAAAGACAGGCACTAAAGTGGAGAATGTAAAAAGAGAGCATGAGATCCTTTATTTTTTTTATATGAAAGCATGTCGATTTGTTGTTGAAGAAGCGTTTATTTCTTTTTTTGCCTTTAAAACCCTGAACTGTTGTCCTTTTAGCTCTGGATCATGGTCCTAACCCCTGTCCCCTCACACTCAGACAGTGGAAAATAAATTCAGTTATATCATCTTGATGACGCTGAGAAAAGCAGCCACCAGTAAGATACCATTTATGTCCTTTTTTTATCGAGGCTTCTGAGGTTATCAACAACTACAGTGTAACAAAGTGATATCTGCACAGAGCTTATTCAAACCTCCATCGATGACCTCCAAACCAGAACATATTTGCTAATAATACAAATTAAGAGCTGATTTTTTTTTTATTGATCTTGATCCCATTGTGTACATTGTATAAGTGAAGGAGAATGTCTCACATGATGCCAAGAGATAGAATTTTCTTTCTCTGAAACTTTTAGACAAATGTATTGTCACAGCTTAGAAAAAACCCAACAGCATGCAAGTACCGATTGTATTATGTTTAACCTATTTGGGGGATACAAAACATTTTGAGAAAAAAGTTGAGAAAATGTTCATAAAAAAATGTTTTGACTTAAAGGTGGGGTAGGTAATTTTGGAGAAACCGGCTCGAGATCGCTAGAATTTGAAAATACACAACCGGAGAAAATCTGCCACTTCCTTATAGAGCTCCTCCTCCAACACACACGAACGCGCACATGACCAATGAGGGCACAAGATAAGTTTGTGCACAGATGGAAGGCTGACAGGCAGGTAGGCCATCCAGTTATTTTAGCCGGGCCGGCTAAAATGATTGGTCGTACTTTTTACAGTATTACGGCTTCCACAGATGACATTTTTTTATGGATTTTTTGTCAAAGCACTTAAGATATTCATTGCTATCGGGATGTTAAGAGCATTCCATGGAATATAACAAAAAGTGTATCTCGAGCCGATTTCTCAAACTTACCTACCCCACCTTTAATTGTAGACTCATCATTTGTATTTGATCACTAAATCAAACAGACCTCTAAAGAATTGAGCAACAGTGTCCTCTTGTGGCCTTTTTGTGTAGTTGACCAAAAGTACCAGTGTAAAAAAGGAACAAAAATTAAGTGTATGAACGGTTTAACATCAATGTAACATACAAAAATACATTATATTAACAATTGGAGAAAGCTATCACAACTGGTAATAAGTGTTTTCTGACATTGTTACAGATGTACCATTGTTAGTTTTAATAAATGCTCAATTTGACTATTTAAACATTATCGCAAAACTCTAAGGGCAAATCCCAATATTAATATCATTATTACCTTTATATGCGTTTATTAAAAACACTTGAGTTTGACATTAAATTCTCCTCTATTGGTCATCTAGCAGCGCCTTGAATCCACACTACTGTGATAGTAGAAGTATTCAGATGTTTCCAAAAGCTGTTCAACAACTATTTTATTTTATTATGCTAAATCGATCATTTACTACTAACATAATAGACACTTTGGACTTGTTTGAGAGCTTGAATAACAACTGACAAGGAAAAAAAATGTATGGATGAAATGTTGATATGTGGTTAAGTATGCATTGAATCAAAACTATTGAGTTTGATATTCAATTTCTCCTCTAATGGAAATGTGTCACTTGGGAGCACCTTGAATCTACTGTGATACAGAGCTGGAAGAAGTATTCAGATGTTTTACCTAAGTTAAAGTAACTAAACAGCAAAGTGAAAGCACTAATTTAGTATTCGCAATATGAACTCAAAGTACCAAACTGCCACATATGTGTAGACAAATGGCCACAGATTTGTATATTATTATTTACAACATTTTGGTGATTATTTCTGATGCATTTATGTGAAGCAGTATTTTAATGGTCTGTTGATGGTTGTTGAGATAAGCCAAGATTGTAACTATTTTATATATAATGTGTAACTTAATACAATAATGCCGTTGTCACATTTTGTAAGCTAATTGTTTTTTTCTATTTATGTTCACACCTTTGGCCTTTGGGGACTCCATAGAACAATCGCAGACAATTACATTTTCAGGAAGTTACTTTGAAAAACTTGCATGTAAAGTTTCCACTCTATTTATTGTTAAATGAAAGTTAAAAACTTTTCACTATCACTCATGTAACTTTGTCTGAATATTCTCTCTCTATCTCTCTCTCTCTCTCTCTCTCTCTCTCCTCTCTCTCTCTCTCTCTCTCTCTCTCTCTCTCTCTCTCTCTCTCTCTCTCTCACACACACACACACACTGTAATGAGTTGATTAAACTTCTTAATGTCAGTATCAATAATAAAAGTATGTTGGTGCATCATGGCATGTGGCTCATTAAAAAAAAGTACAGCAATTATCTACCTCTCGTCTGACTGGTCGGCCCCACCTGGGCAGGTAAACACAATGGAGGAAACAAATACATTAAAGTAAAACCACTGCATTCCAGCAGTCAGCAGTGCATTATAAAAGCTGTGTGGGAACTACCTGACTGTTGCTTTAGGTTGTATCTGTAATTTTGTATTAGTAAGTACACACAATAACATAAAAGGAGCAAATACATTTCATTTTTTCATTGTTTATGAGCGAGCAAGGCAAGGCAAGTTTATTTATATGGCACCTTTCAACACAAGGCAATTCAAAGTGCTTTACAAAAATGAAAGACAATAAGATCATCTAAGCTAACAACACTAACATGTGTAGTCAAATTAGTCTGAAAATGATTTAGAAATGTTGCTTCATTTGGATGGAAAATTTGCCATGCAAAAATGTACCTCACTCTTAGTTTATCAAATCACCAACTCACTATAGAAAACTAGAAAATGCATTTCCTGCTGAAAATGCATGCAAATGCTGTAAACTGTGTACATTTGTTGCTGAATTTAGCTGAAAAAGCTGAATATTTTATGAGTTGAATGGTCTCTGTAGCTGCTTTTAATGTAGCTACAAAAACCAAGTAAGTGTGTTGCTGAACTTAGCGGAGAAATGCAGAAAAGTGAAATGATTTGAACGAATTTGTTACAGCTCAAATGCATTGCAATGACTTTGTTGAAAACTTGAAAGTGAAATGTTAAACTGGAAGAGTAGGAACAATTATGAAGAAGCTTAATATTTATGAAAAGGTTTACAAAAGGTATAAACAACAAATTGTAAAGCCTCAATGTCCTGAAATAGCTGAATAATTTAATAGTTGAATGGTTTCTGTAGCTGAAAGTAGGCTGAAGGAGTTAGTTAAATATCAGATGTACGTAGTAGTATAAGTTCAAGCATTACATCCATAGGTCTTTTATTTTTGAAGGGGTGTGTGGTGTTTGGGAGTGCGAGGTGTAGAAAAACAAAATGAGGTTATTAACTAAGTCGGACAGTATTGCATCGGTGATAGCTTTCTGCTGTGGATGATTCATGCTGTACTGTCCTGCATGGTTGCCAAAAACCTGTGAGATTGAAGGCTGTTGTTTATCATTTGTGATGCTTTTGTCCGTTAAAAAATAAATCAGTAAATGCATTGTTGTTCCTTTTCAAATTGCAGATCAAACTGCTCTTTATTAGTCTTATTAATAATTTACTAATCAATTTTCTCTCTGCTGGGAAGTAACTTGTTTTATTTTTATTTTTAGAAGGAACAGTAAGGTTAGGCTACAGGGCTATTCAATTGGCGGCCCGCGGGCCAAATCCGGCCCCGGGGTGATATTTACTGGCCCTTTGAGTATAATGTTAAAAAGTAATCTACTTTGACGGTTTAATTCAGAAGGAGTTTAATTAATAAGATCCCTGATGTTAAGTTATGTTTCAAAGCATTATTCATAAACCTTCTATGTATTTTTGATCCATTAGAGATACAGGCTCTCACAAACACTCCTCTAAAAAGCCTACAGTATGTGGGGGGGCTCTGTGTGGAGGTGCGAGAGGAGGGCGGAGGTCGAGGATCTCATTATTTGACCTTAAGGGATATAGGCCTACACTGTGGCCCTAAAGCAACTGCTCCATTATCTGTATCAAATGCACACATTGAAGCCACCAAATGTCACAATAAAAATAGAAAGTACTACAAATAAACTGGAATTCATTTACATCTTAAATTATTAATATATATACACAAAAAAAGGTTTACAAATATCCAACCTTCAAATAGCTTTTTTAAATCAACACTGCTCTGCACACTTGCTAAAGAACATTTGTGTGGAAATCCCAATTCATTTGTAGGGCTGCTTGAGTATGGCCAAAAGTATGGGAGTAAATCTCACTGTAAACTATTTAATCATCACCAAATTCTGTGTTATTTTTGACTGTTTGCGCTCATCCTAATTTTCAGCCTTGATGTAACAACATTCATAATTAAGTAAAGGTAACACCCTTTTCACCCTGGTTACACTTTTCATTTGCCCTGTACGATGGGCGCTGTAAGTGATGAAAGTGGGGGGTGTTGGCTTATCAGGCGTCCGCAGCTCACAGCCAAAGTGGGTGGGGGATCGAGCAAGAGAGATAAATGCAATTTATGTAAACACATATTTCCAAGGCACTCCTTTATAATTATTTGGATAAACAGGTTTGAAATCATTTCAATGTATACTATAGGACAGCAAACCAAAAATATCGTTTAACACTTGAGAGATATAAAAATATGCATAAATAAATGTTAACTAGGTAAAATAAGATATGAATGAACAACAAAAATAAAATAAGTTACATTTATTTGTTATTGGCTGTGGTATGTTATTGGTTATGTTCACATATTGGATTATTAAAATAACCGATCTTTTTCATATGGGTGTTTAGAGTTGTACCCCCTAGATCTAGTCTCTAGTAATATGTGCTCAAAGTGCACCAGATTGAAGCATTTTACTTTTTTTACATTTCTTCACACACACACACACACACGCACACACACACACACACACACACACACACACACACACACACACACACACACACACACACACACACACACACACACACACACACACACACACACACACACACACAGTCGATTTGTTGTTGAAGAAGCGTTTATTTTATTTATTTTGCCTTTAAGCCCTGAACCTTTTTCCTTTTAGCTCTGGATCCTGGTCCTACCCCCTGTCCCCTCACACTCAGACAGTGGAAAATAAATTCAGTAATATCATCTTGATGACGCTAAGAAAAGCAGCCACCAGTAAGATACCATTTATGTCCTTTTTTGATCGAGGCTTCTGAGGCTATCAACAACTACAGTCAAAGTGATATCTGCACAGAGAGCTTATTCAAACCTCCATCGATGACCTCCAAACCAGAACATATTTGCTAATAATACAAATTAGGAGCTGATTTATTTTGTATTGATCATGATCCCATTGTATACATTGTATAAGCGAAGGAGAATGTCACACATGATGCCTAGAGATATAATTATCTTTCTCTGAAACTTTTAGACAAATGTATTGTCACAGCTTAGAAAAAACCCAACAGCATGCAAGTACCGATTGTATTATGTTTAATCTTCTTTGTTGGGATACAAAACATTCTGAGAAAAAAGGTGATTGTGTTTAGAACAAAAATGTAGACTTGTAGTTCTAATCTGATCACTAAATCAAACAGACCTCTAAATAATTGAGCAACAGTGTCATCTTGTGGTCTTTTGGTGTAGTTGGCCAAAAGCACCAATGTACAGATTCAAGGGTTTTATTATCATGTGCACAATACAGTGTAGTTCTGCAATAAAAATTGTGCAAAATGAAACAGAGTAGGATGGGAGTAAATCTCACTGTAAACTATTTAATCATCACCAAATTCTGTGTTATTTTTGACTGTTTGCGCTCATCCTAATTTTCAGCCTTGATGTAACAACATTCATAATTAAGTAAAGGTAACACCCTTTTCACCCCGGTTACACTTTTCATTTGCCCTGTACGATGGGCGCTGTAAGTGATGAAAGTGGGGGGTGTTGGCTTATCAGGCGTCCGCAGCTCACAGCCAAAGTGGGCGTGGGAGCGAGCAAGAGAGATAAATGCAATTTATGTAAACAAATATTTCCAAGGCACTCCTTTATAATTATTGGGATAAACAGGTTTGAAATAATTTCAATGTATACTATAGGACAGTAAACCAAAAATATCATTTAACACTTGAGAGATATAAAAATATGCATAAATAAATGTTAACTAGGTAAAATAAGATATGAATGAACAACAAAAATAGCTAAAATCTCGCCTAGGGCATGCAAATTGGTCACTGCCAGTGACCAATCGGATGGGTGTGGTAGAGACATAAAAGCCAGGTACTTCTCAAAGCCTGAGTATATTTGTGCAGACGTTTCATGATCAGCTGTTTTAGGGAGCGACATCATTTGTGTCTTCTATCGTTAGTTAGACACAGAAAACATTGTCAATGGCGTCAGAAGACTATGGGGAAATGAGCTGGAAGGATATGTGTGAGTACCTGAAAGAAAAAGGACTTGGAAGGTGGGCAGATCAATTTAAAGGTAAGTTTCTGGTTTGGTCATTTAAATTGATGGTTAGGTTTTATATCATCGTTGGCCTAATTGAATAAGCTGATGAAAAAAAAATGCTTTTGTTTTTTTAAATTCAACTTAGCTTATAAACTTGTCATAAAAAACTAAAATGTGATACAGGACTGTAATTCACTGCATCTTCTTTTACCCAGGAAAGCCTGTTATCAAGCTGCGGGAGCTCAAAGATGATGGTTTTATGTCTGGGATGGGCGTAGAGTGAGTATCATCCCTTGTCAAACCAGGTTGCAATTAAAAAATATATATAACATCCTGAAAAGAAGGAAGTGTGTTGCACATTTTCCTGAAGCATTGGCACTAATTTGGTGCAACAACTTCCCCCTGGCTTGACTTTTAACTTATAACCTACTATGATTTTTTTTCACGATTTCTTTAGTCCGTCTGAGGATCGTCAGGAAATCTTGGATAGTATCTTGAAGATCTGGCCAGCAGCTCCCAAGGTGATATAATATTTTGTTTGATTTATTGCTTCACACTACATGTTCAGGGCCTTCAGAAGAAATGGAGCTTGTTTTAGTTGTACTCTTTAGGGTCATCATTTGAGTTTTTTTGTTGTACGTATTCTGTTAGGTGTTTAATGATCCAATCCACGGACATATGGAGTTGCACCCTCTTCTTGTCAAAATCATCGACACGCCTCAGTTCCAGAGATTAAGATACCTCAAGCAGCTGGGAGCGGGCTATTTGGTTTATCCTGGAGCCTCCCACAACCGGTTTGAACACTCAATTGGGTATGTCCAATGTGTGTTAATATTATCCAAAATTAATATTAAGTGAAGACTTGTTTGCTGTAAATGGACTGTATTTACATATGGCAGCAATAAACTGTTTAAAACAAATTGCATATCTTGTTCTGCAGCAGGACACTCAAGTGGTGATTGTGTGATGACTTGTTATTGTTGTGTGCTCTATGCTTTGGTGAAGGGTGGGGTACTTAGCAGGAGAGCTTGTGAAAGCTCTGAAGGAAAAGCAGCCAGAACTCGACATCAATAAGAGAGACATCCTTTGTGTTCAGATCGCTGGGCTATGCCATGACCTGGGTGAGTGATACACACCTTCCACTTTAATATGTGATAGGTTTTTAAATAATAATTCATCAACAAAATGACCATTTGTATACAACAATTGCTTACCCTGTATTACCTGTTTTTCTCAAATACACTACGAACAGAGAATAATCAAAAATCAAAAATGCAATATATATATATATATATATATATATATATATATATATAGCCAGCAGAGAACAATAAAAGAGATGGCATAATTTTATTTTGAAATGAGCAAATCTGCGCCTCAAAGCCAACATCTGGTGAGGTGTGAGTCAGGTACCTGACTAATAATGATGTCAACAGTATGACATAATCAATGATAAAATGATTAACTTATTATTATGTTGGGTGAAACAAAACAATTTTTAATACTGATATCTGATGAAAACAATCTCTGTTTGATATGACCTGCTAAACTGACATTTAAATGAGAGATAACTTTAGGAGCAACATAAACTTTTAATAAACTGCAACACAGACTAATGCACTGTAAAGGGTTTGCATCAAGAATACATTATAATACAATTTTTGAAAAGGCCAGTTGTGGGGTGAGAGAACATCTTTAGTTTCAATCAATCAATCAATCAATCAATCAATCAATCAATCAATCAATCAATCAATCAATGTTTATTTATATAGCCCAATATCACAAATGTTACATTTGTCTCAGTGGACTTCACAGTTTGTACAGAATATCAGTATGACAATACGACACCCTCTGTCCTAAGACCCTCACATCGTACAAGGACAAACTTCCAAAGAAACCCCACAGTTTAAAGGGGAAAATGGGAGAAACCTCAGGGAGAGCAACAGAGGAGGGATCCCTCTCCCAGGACGGACAGAAGTGCAATAGATGCCCTGTGTAAATTGAAAAGATAATACAACATACATACATACAACATAGGTAGACCAAATGTTTGGAAATGCATGTGTCTATAATAAGAACATGAATCCAGGAGGATGTCAACAATCCTGTGGGAGCCATCAGAGAAGTATGATGAGAGTCAGGCAGGACCACAGTGACAGGTTCAGCCACGACTCGAAATCCAGGACTCAGGATGCAGGGTCAGGATGCAGGATCCAGGACTCAGGATCCAGGACTCAGGACCACAGCAACAGGATCCCGGCGTAGATAGACACCAAAAATAAATTTGGGGAAGCTGGGCTATTCGGAACATGAGAGTACACATGTACAGACAGAGAGAAGGAAGAAGTAAGGTCCCCCTGACAGTATAAGCCTATAGCAGCCACACTAGGGGCTGAATCTAATCAGCCCTAACTATAAGCTTTATCAAAAAGGAAGGTCTTAAGCGCACTCTTAAAAACGCCCGAACACAAACTGGAAGCCGATTCCACAAAAGTGGAGCTCGATAAGAAAAGGCTCTGGCTCCCATTGTACTTTTAGAGACTCTAGGAACAACCAACAACTCTGCATTCTTGGAACGCAATGCCCTAGTAGGACAGTAGGGTATAATGAGTTCTTTAAGGTAAGATGGCGCCTGCCCATTAAGGGCTTTGTAGGCGAGAAGAATCATTTAAAATGATATCCTGTGCTCTATAGGGAGCCAGTGTAAGGCAGCCAGAACAGGAGTAATGTGGTCTCTTTTCCGAACTCTGGTTAATACACGAGCTGCAGCATTTTGAATCAGCTGAAGTGACTTAACTGACTTCTTGGTCCACCCTGATAATAAAGAGTTACAATAATCCAGCCTTGAAGTAACAAATACATGGACTAGTTTCTCTGCATCGTTTTGAGGCAAGATATGCCTGAGTTTGGACAGACAGCAGAAAATGTGTTATCATGATGGAAAGAACTGCAAATGTATTTCATCTCTCACTTCTCAACCTTTGTCCTTCCTACTTAAGGAGGAGATACCTCAGTTGATAGAGGACCTGGCTGCAGCCCTCCCATTCCCACGAGAGGGAGCTCAGGATGACGGGCTGAGAGAGGAGGACTTTGAAGTTTTGGTAAGTTTTTCATTTAGTTAATTTTGCTTCGCTAATCTTAAAATGGTGTGGTTTTTAGATACTGCCATCTCCATTGATTTACTTTCGAATAAAGAACAGGCTTCTGTCTCAACCTTCTCTTCCAGCCTGTTACTTTTGACTATGGGATGAAGGGAAAGGACCCGATCGATAGTATGGACTTCTACAGCAAGAAAGACCCTACCCAAGCATTCAAAATCAAGAGAGAAGAGGTCAGAACAATGACAACAAAAATCTCAATCTTGATATTTTTTTGTGTGAGCTTTTGTGTATTTCTTTGTAGGGAAACCTCTTTTATGTATTTTTTTATTATATTTATGCTGCTATCATTCTTGTCAGGTGTCGAGGTTTCTCCCAGAGCACTTCTCTGAGACGCTCATCAGGGTTTACAGCAGGAAGATTGAACCTGAAAGTCTGGAAGCTGCCAGGGGGCACTTGACACAGTGGATCAGAGGGAGGAATGAACAACTTCCAGGTAATATGTATATCTAAGACATTAAAAATAGAATGTATCGGACTGCCTATAGTCGAGTAGTTAGTAGTCAAATCGAAGTCAAATGCCCTGAGCAGCAAATCTTAGTTTGTTTCCTAGTTGGCTGGACCACTTGGGGGGTAAGAAAAACGCTTTAGTTTGATTTGAAAGTCTGGAAAAGGAGATGGCCCGCCTACTGCAAGTCATTCCCGTACTCTCTTTACAAACATATCTACCTTTTCATTTCATTTCATTTAATCGTTTATTTGAATAGGGACAATGCACATTAATGAACACTTAAGACAAATAATGCTTCAAGTGTAAAAATGCTGGATTTGAGCTTTGAGGTAATTTCCATCCGTAGTCCCTGACATAAAACATATAAGAACATGACATTTATAAACATCGCAAAAAAGTAATACATGATACGCAAAAAGAGCAAGAGCAGCATACACAAGTATTCACCACATGGCAGTACAATGTAGCAGCAACGACATATCAAGTGCAAGAAATGATACAAGAGCTACATAAAGTGCAAGAGGAGATACCCCTTTCTTAAAGTACATGTAAACATTTATAAAAAAAGCACATATTTTTAAAAGACTTAAAATGGTCAAAACTTAAGAAATGGTGTTTCTCAAGGATGGTCCAGTGGTGGTATGAATAAGGCTTTCTGTCAAACACCTTGATAGCCCTCTTGTACAGCTGGTCTATTGGTTTAAGGTTTGTGGCACAAGCAAACGACCAGTTTGTAAAACAGTATTCAATGTGGGATAGAATCATACAGTGGAGGTATGACTTTGCAGCATTGACAGTTAAGAAGGGTCTGATTTGTTTAAAATGTTGCAAGTTGAATTTAATGGTATTGGACTTTCTTGATATGTTTCTTAAAATTCAAGTTCGAGTCCAGTATGACTCCAAGATACTTGAAGTGGGAGACTAGTTCTATTTTTGCTCCACTACAACTGTCAAATAAAGGCATATTGCACCACCATCTTTTTTAAATAGATCGTAAGGCAGGAGGTTTTATTAAATGGCAGTGATATTATATCATAGTAGTACAGTATAAAATATGTACAGTATGAGTATTAGTATATGGACATGAGCAGGTAAGGAGGAATAATTACTTTTGTTACATCTCGTCAGATTTCAAGGATACAATTGCAGTTCAATTGCACATTGATCTTGCCTCTGGAGTTAAAACCATCTATGCCTGCTGCTTAATGATTATTTTAATCATTTATTAAGAAGCGATTACTTCCTCAATTAGTTTACTTTTATAATTTGGTCTGTACATGTAAGAAAATGGGGGAAATGCCTGTAATATGTAGTAAAGACAAAGGTTACGTCTTTAAGTAAAGTGAGAAGCTGGATCTATTTTTCTGTGGAGCTACTAATAATGTAGCTCCACTGTAGACTAGCACCATGCTTCAGTAAAGATAGTTGCAGCTCTGCTCTTGGTAATGCTGATACACTTTTCTTTCTTTATTTACATGCAGAGGAGAGACACTGTCTCCTCACACAATTTGGATGAATCTGAAGTTTTGGAAAATGGAAGTTAAACCTGAAAAAAATCAGAAAACACTTCCTGGCTCTCCTTGGTTCATACTGATTGAAGGTGATCGAGAAATTTGATCAAGTGAGTATGTGACTTCACGACTTAAAAGTGAATGAGGATGCATTATGCACAATTGGGCCATATATGCAGTTTTTAGAGCCCTGTTTAATATTATAAACTAATCTAAGTGCAAATGTGATCATTTTAAATCAGCTTTAATTAAGAATCACTGTTTAATACCATATTATGGCTATTTGAAATGTAATTTTAGGTGTGATTTAGGGATTTCAAAATATTTAGTGGTGTTTGTTTAAGATATCTATCGTGTGAATTAATGTGGTAACCTTCAATATCCATCTAATACCAAAAATCTACTGATTCATAACTCACTCTATTAGAGCTGCAACTATTAACCAAAGTGTAGGTAGCATTTACAATTTCCCTGAAGCCCTTTTCATTTATTGCACTTAGTTTGCTTCCTCAATATTGCAAAACTACCTCTGCTTTATTTCTATATAGGATGCTCATTGCAGGGTTGAGCTATATGACAATATATGTAAAATTTAGCGTGAGACGATGTTAATCTTCCTGCCGTATTGTTTTATGATATTTCCCTTTATTATGACTGGTTTAATCGGACCATCATTCAGGGTGATAATCGTGGACTTAAACCTCACGGTGTCAAATATCAACCCTGTCTCCTAGAAATTACGTTCCCACAAAACTAAACTGCATTCTCAAATACGTTTTGCAAGAAACGTATTTCCTTCCACGTTACGTTTGTTATGAATATATCTTAAATACGTTTATTTTCTACATATCTTCTAGAAACCTATTTTCTCTCACATGACGTTTGTTATGAACGTATCTTAAATACGTTTGCTTTCTACCTATATTTGCCATTTCTTTTCTAGCTTATAATAATGATAATAGTCATTTATTAATATCATTTTAGAGCAAACTTATTTTCGCGCTGGCTGGCGGCTGACTTTTCAGTTGACCAAATCCGTTATTATGCTGGTTAATGGTTAATAATCACAATATTGTTTGTAGTCGTTTCATACAGCATTCTCAATTACGTTTAATTTTGTCCCACGTTACGTTTGTTCTGAACATATCTTAAATACGTTTATTTTCTACATATCTTCTAGAAACCTATTTTCTCTCACATGACGTTTGTTATGAACGTATCTTAAATACGTTTGCTTTCTACCTATATTTGCCATTTCTTTTCTAGCTTATAATAATGATAATAGTCATTTATTAATATCATTTTAGAGCAAACTTATTTTCGCGCTGGCTGGCGGCTGACTTTTCAGTTGACCAAATCCGTTATTATGCTGGTTAATGGTTAATAATCACAATATTGTTTGTAGTCGTTTCATACAGCATTCTCAATTACGTTTAACAAGAAACGTCTTTTGTCCCACGTTACGTTTGTTCTGAACATATCTTAAATACGTTAGCTTTCTACCTATCTTTGACATTTCTTTTCTAGCTTATAATAATGATAATAGTAATTTATTAATATCATTTTAGAGCAAACTTATTTTCGCGCTGGCTGGCGGCTGACTTTTCAGTTGACCAAATCCGTTATTATGCTGGTTAATGGTTAATAATCACAATATTGTTTGTAGTCGTTTCATACAGCATTCTCAATTACGTTTAACAAGAAACGTCTTTTGTCCCACGTTACGTTTGTTCTGAACATATCTTAAATACGTTAGCTTTCTACCTATCTTTGACATTTCTTTTCTAGCTTATAATAATGATAATAGTAATTTATTAATATCATTTTAGAGCACACATTTGAAATCGACGATCGGGCTTGATATCCTATGGTTAAATTAAAATCAGTAGGCGAGGCTGTCATTTCGCCATCTGCGAGGCAGAGTTTTAACATGCCAAAAAGCTGCTGTGTCGTTTATTGCACCTCAAACACCTCAAACTTCCTCTAAGGACAGCAGAAGAGCTCTGTGGCTTCAGGCTTGATCGCAGTTCAAATGACAGCGTTGGTTTCCCCAAAAGTGGGTGGGGCTGTGACGTAGATTTTACTCTCATCTATTATTCAAAACCATTCTATTTAATCCAAACGTAAATTACATGCCAGTGTTTTATATTTTTATTAAGCGATTTGTTTATGTTGTTTAACTCATAGATATATATAAACATATGTTTTTATATATATCTATGGTTTAACTGGGAATGTTTTCACATTGAACCGGAAGTACGTCACTTCACTTTGTCTTCTTCGTCCCTTTTACGTTCCAGACAATGCATGGCTCAGCGTAACAGACTGAACAGCGACCCCAGGTGTGTCTACATTGGAATTACATCTTCATTACTGAAGGAAAAATATTTTACCTTGTGTTTGTTAACTGGGTTTTTAATGCAGTTGGCTTTTCTTAATGGCTACAATATTGCTATGAGTTACAGTATATATCTGAAGCAAATTATGTTTCTGAAGATGTGTAGTCAATTCCACCCTTCAATGTAGCATAAATGTGAACTCTCATTACAGGAACAATACCGGAAACAGACGTAGGAAAGATCCTCAGCTCGCTGATTGGATGTTTTAGCCGCAATGCACGTTGGGATATGGTGTTTATGCGATGTGAAATCCGAAAACATTAAAAAAAATAATAATAATACTTTATTCTGAGTGTTCTTGCTTTTCTCTTTGAAAGTCATCACATAACGGCATTGTAATACACGGTTCGGCTACATTAAATATTACACATCTGCCATAGTTCTTTATTTATAGAGCCCTGATGAGAAGACTTCTGGACTGAAGTTCTGGAAGAACTGCCGCCGAAACTGAATACGTGACGTGGATCATAAATATATCAACAATTAAACAACATCTTACATTTCTTTTCACAAAATACGTCTCCTTGCAGTATCAATACTAATACGGCTGACTTTTATATTTGATCCAATTGGTAGATAGGTTATATTTACACCATAACGGTGCACAGCTGATAGAAAAGGACTTGTAGTTTTTAAAGATATTACTGATTTTCTTTGAATATATAAGAATGTAAATACTGAGTTGAGAGAATAGTCAGGGGATTTGGGTGATGGGAGACACATCTATGGAATCACAATTTCAATAGCTTACCATTAAATCACGGATATACCTTTCTGTCTGTGATGTTTTACAAATCAGATATTAATGTGTAGAAGTAAACATGAGAAATAATATAGCAATATCCTGTACAATTATGTAAAAACATGAATAAAACTACACATCTTCAGATGTTATACATACATAAGTGTCCTACACTAATAATACAAAGTTATTATTAGTATACTGTGTGTACCTTGTGTGCACCGCCTAGTGGTTAAAGCACGTTATTTAATCATTTTTGTTGAATAATGTTATTTTTGTTGAATAATGTTATTTGATGAATAAAATATTAAGAGTACATACTTTCATAGGGGGAAAGTAGAAGGTCAATGATAGAAATATAGAATATAAAAAATCAAGAAGATACTGTAAGTGATCTCTACAATAAAACAGTTTAGTGCCTGATGTACAAAGATATTAATATGAGGATGTGCAAAACAGACAAACTAATTAACCTTTATTAACACATTAAAGAATACTTTAGGTTTTCTTTCAAATAAGAAAAAAGCTTTGGGGGTATCTATCTACAGATAAATATTAAGCCTGACAAAGTACTTAGCGTCTAATATATTGCTTTCCTGCAATGTTAACTGTGTTGAAGCACTTATTTTAACTGATATTATATATATATTAATTATACTCTTATGTATGTAGATAGTATAAGACATGTGCAGAATTTGAGTTTAATGGTGGAGGAATACACACATATTGATAGATGTCTTGTAATGCACTGTTGAGGAACCTGTGACCCAAGTTTTTCATTAATTGCATAACTTCAACATCGTGGTGTATATGATATGTCAATAAACCTTAGAAAATCTTGAAAGGGATGTGCAAAATAGCTATTATATACAGTTTTTAATTAACTATTAGTAGAGAATAACGAGTAATGAATATACTTTATAGAGATCTGCAGATAAATGTTTAGTCTTCTCAAGCACCAACTAATATCTCTCCTGATTGTTGGCACTTGACAATCACCTTTCCCTGAATTTTACTCAGGTGTAACTAAAGTCTGCTTTAAGGGTTGTTTATATTTCACATCATTAATCAGAATCTGCAAAGTAACTAAAATAAATGTAGTGGAGTAAAAATACCAGGTTAACCTCTGAATTGTAGTGGAGTAGAATTCAAAAGTAACAATGAGCTGGCATGTGGGTATATATTAATGCTTCCCATTATGGACACAAGCGATTTTCACCCATTTATTAATTACATGTTTTACATTTGTACACACCAATTTGTTTCCTATCCCCTAAACCTCCAGGGCTGTACACAGTTTAATACTGTCAACTTCTAATTTTGGGAAAAACGAAAACGTCTTTTAAAACTACAATTCCCAGTAGAGACGCTATAGAACATGTTGCAAAACACAATAGCCAGCATGTGTAGTTCTGGGGGGGGCGTTCGAGTCCAGTTTTGGAAAGTCTGCCGTGGTTTCGTTCCATTTCAAAGAGCTGTTTGGCGCTCGGCGTAACCTTGGCGCACTGCCACTCCAACATCCAATCCCAGAGCTTGAAGATTAATCACGGGGTTTGTCAACAGGACTGTAGTCCCAAAAGATAGCTGGGGATTATGGGTAGTGTAGTGTCTTCGGCCATCCTAAACTCTGATTCTTTTTTCGGATTTCATATCGCATTAACACCATATCCCGACGTGCATTGCGGCTAAAACATCCAATCAGCGAGCTGATGATCTTTCCTACGTCACTTTACAGCCCTGCTCACTTTTGGGGAAACCAGCTGTCATTTGAACGGCGATCAAGCCTGAAGCCACGGAGCTCTTCTGTTGTATACTGTCCTTTCTTCTTAGAGGAAGTACAGAAACACGTAACTCTGGATTTGTTTTAATGTTTGAGGTGCAATAAACGACACAGCAGCTTTTTGGCATGTTAAAACTATTATTTTCTGCCTCGCAGCTGGCGAAATTACAGCCTCGCCTACTGATTTTAATTTAACCATAGGATATCAAGCCCGATCGTCGATTTCAAATGTGTGCTCTAAAATGATATTAATAAATTACTATTATCATTATTATAAGCTAGAAAAGAAATGTCAAAGATAGGTAGAAAGCAAACGTATTTAAGATATGTTCAGAACAAACGTAACGTGGGACAAAATACGTTTCTTGTTAAACGTAATTGAGAATGCTGTATGAAACGACTACAAACAATATTGTGATTATTAACCATTAACCAGCATAATAACGGATTTG